TTTGTTTTGGATCTGTTCACTGGAGTGCCTCAGAGCTTCGAAGGATCCAGGCGGCATCTGGCCTCTCTCCCTCCACCCCAGCAGTCCAGAAGAAGCTGTTTGCAGACATGTCAAGTGTCCTCTCCTGCCACACTCACATGTGGGAGACTAATGCAATCACAGTCTGGGTGTCATGCATTCCTTTGGGCTGTGAAAAGCAGGACTTGAGCTGCAATGGATCCTTCTGTGCACGGGCTGAGTGGGCAAACTCTCTACTGCCCTATCTGGTTTCCAGCCCACACGCAGCAGCCAAGGGCTAAGGAGGGGGTGATGGACTTACCCCAAAGGTTGGGGTGGGAAGAAGCAGAGTGAAGAGGTGATCAGAGAGCCATCCCATAGCATTCCTCCTAGGGTCACTCCAACAACCGCTTGGCTCCTTCCTGCCGTAGGCCGCAGCCCCTAGGTTCTATAGAGAATTTCTGAATTAACCCTCTAGAAAGCTGCTTCTGGCTCTCTACAAACATGGTCAGTCCATGTGAGCATGCTGAGTACAAGCCAAGCAGCAACTCTGGTGGGGTGGGGGAGAGGCACATGAGCCACATGCTCCCTCCCCCACGCATCTCCTCTGCAGATGACCCTCCTGCGGAAACACAAGTGTGTACTCAGGGGAATGCTGTGCTATGGTGTATGTGCCCTGCAAGATACTCACTTGTGCAGGGAAGCAACACTGCTGTTAGCACTGGAGTCTGGGCAATACAGAAGAGGAGTTGGAAATTCTCAACGAGGGGAAAGTGGATAGAACTGGGAAACCTGGTGGGACGATGTGTCTGACTGGAATGTTAGTGTTGCTGGTGACAACCCTTATAGGAAGGGGAGAGAGGATCAAAGTGGTGGGCGTGGTGGCACTTGACATTAGACACATCATTACCTGTTTAAAGTTCTTGGTTATTGAGAACCCCAGGACTTCGAATGGACAGGGATCAATCTGCTAACTCACACAGCCCAGCAGGGGAACCAGTGTGGGGCTGGTACAGTTCACTGAATCCAAACCAGAGAGCAGGTTCAGGTTCTTCTTTAGCACCTGTCTGTGACCTGTGGGTAGACAATTGGGTTCGCATGGGGCACTTTCTATTGGGAGACAGACGGGGGAGGTCTCACGTAGCCAGTAGTAAATTATCCTCAGAGATTTAAAACAATTATTTGGACTTTTTGTAATAGGTGTCATCAGCTCTGAAGGCAGCGCCGCCAACAGTAGCAGTGCAGAAGTAAGGGTGGCAATACACCATACCACTGCACCCTTATTTCTGCGCTCTTGCTGGCGGCAGTGCTACCTTCAGAGCTGGGCGCCCGCTGTCACCTATTACAAAAAAGCTCAAATAAGTGACTGTCAAATAATTTAAGCCCGCAACCTGCAACTCTCATAAAATTAAAGTGCCTTTTTTTAAAAACAAGCCAAATTCTGCTCAAGGATTTCTGATCCTCTCTCTTTAGGAAGACCTGGGACAGGTCCAGCCCACAGCCACTTCTCTGGGACTAATGAGAGCTTCCTGATTAGTTCTTTTCTTCTTCCCCTCTCCCCTCCCTGGCATGAGTTCCATGGGCTCTTTTCACAAAGGCAGGTGGAACCCAGACATCATAGGCCCCATGATTTTGACAGTCCTTTTGCAGCCTCTGACCCCAGTCCCATCATGCCTGGAGGGGTAAAAGATTCTCCACCTGCCATCATATTTCTAGTCTTGTCCTTATGAGAGTCTCTGGGTGAGAGAGGAACCCTAGGTTACATAAGCAAAATATAAAAGCAGTTTATTTTCTTGTTAATCAACAACTCAGGTATAAGCTGCTCCCCTGTTTCATTCTGCCACATTCCAGACTGTTCTACAAAGAACATAGTGACGTTACACCATTCTGACTGAATACTGACTGAGTGAACTACAAAAACAAAGCGTGTATTTTCAAAGTGCTAAATGAAATCACTTAAATTCTGACTGATTAAAAAGGAGGAAACTGCACTTCCAACAAGGAGTGGACCAATTTCTGCTGCTTGTAGTCCTGAGTTGTCTCCTCCATCACCTGCAACAGGAACCAAATGCGAGTTGCCTGATAGTTAGCATTTCTAAGCCACCACATCAACACCACCTCTTAAGTCTTTTCCTGGGCATTACTTTGGAAAATAAGGCTGTTCTTTCTGCTTATCCTGGTTTGATGATTTTGAATGGTGCCATGATAGATTGATTACTCAGCCTCATCTCTTGCAAGCCAACTATCAGCTTACAGAACAATCACTGAAATCAGTTCAGAAACAGCTTAGTTTGCTCAGCCAAACTGAGTGCTGGCAGATTTCCAAAGTGGTGAAGTTGATAAAAATGATTTTGATGAACTGGCAACCAGTGCTGTAAGTGAGCATAGTTTCAGTGCTCTACATCATATTAAAACATGGTTTCTAATTACAATGTGACAATCACAGCTCAACAGGTGTATGACTTTACATGTACATACAGACAAAAGTGCAAATGTACAGCTTATAGGTGTTGCGGAAGAATTCATTTCACAAACCCAGAGGGGAAGAGCAGTGTTTGGAACTTTTTCAGCTTTGGAAGTCATTCATTTTCTTAAGTTTTAAAAAGTAATGCTATAATTAGTAGTACTGTAGCATGACTAAATATGTCCACTTCTAGTAAACTGGGATAAACGATGTTCTGTGCTAAACTCAGCGTTTCCGTTATTTATTAATGCAATCCCTGAATTTCTGGGTGGGGAGAGGCTAAAGCCTACAGTTGTCTCTACACCCATGGAAGGCAAAGTGGGGAGGCTACCAAAATAAAATGGTGATTAGAGGCAGGATTCACCTCCAGCATACTTTGTGATCAGGAGTGGGAGAACATTTACGCATCCTGTACATTTTTTTTAGTATGTAGCCTGGTTGATTGGAGATGGAGGCCAGGTCTAGTTAGCATCCCACCTGTGACTGCATAGAGAAAACTTAGGGTTTGATCCTGAGCCGAGCAAAGTCAATGGGAATCTTTCCATTGATTTCAGTGGCATTAGATCAGGCCTGTTCCTAGACTGTTGCAACTCTTGCTACAGGCATAGCCCCAAAGAAGGAAGCATTGTAAACACAACTCTACATTAGTACAGCCTATAACTACTGTTACCATGCTCCCAATCCCCCAGTCAGCTTCATATCCCGCTAAGAGAAGGTGGGAATGGTTTGCCTTACGTAAGTTGACCTGCACTGATAAACATGATCGTTTGGAGGTTATTCTCTATAGGCTCTGACTAGCTGGGCTTGATCATGGAACTACACAAAGCTCCAATTCTCTTTGGGAGGCCCCCATCAATGATGCTACCACTCCCAATGAACATGGAATCAAACCTGGACCAGGATTTAGGGTGTGGACTGAACACATTATGCACACACTCTTGTGTATCAACATTCCATGTCTTATGTGTGGGGCACTGAGAACTAAATTGGCATTTCTTGACTGCTAGCCACTTTCAGGGCCGGCTCTAGCTTTTTTGCTGCCCCAAACAGCAAAAAAAAGCGCCGCCCCCCCCCCCCCCCCCCGCCGAGCGGCTGCGCTGCCCCCCCCCCCCAGCCAAGCGCCGCCCCCCCGCCGAGCGCCGCCGGAACCCCCC